AGGATCAAAGAGGTCTCGTGACTCGCTAAAATGTTTACCAAATAAATTCTCATATTTTTGTCAGTAATATTGCCAAAGACACTATATACCTAAATGAAGATATCTTTTTCAAAATATGTTGAAGAGGTCGGAACTTTTCCCCCTCTATTTAGGGTACCGTGCGATGTAGACTTTCAAAACGACGGTACACGTGTCCTCTGAGCTTAGCTCTTCTTTCATAATCTAATGGATTTTTTTTGTTATTAGCTAGTGTTAAAGTCTTCATGACCCAGTTAAAAATGCAAGTTCATTTACAAGACGTTGCTTAGGCTCAACATTATACTTGTCCTTAATTTTGGAGCTATTGGCTCAAAAATCGCATTGGAATGACACAGTAACAACAACACAATTACCACCATCGATAAGTATGACATTAACATCAGCAAGCCAACAGTGCATCTTGTTGCCAAGGAACATCTGCCATGAGCAAATATTGCCCTGACCGATGCCACCAACCACTACTGCTAGCATTATTATCACCAGAAGTATCATCATTAGAACATGTAGTTCTGACCTGCCTCTTCTCTCGTTATAACATCTCTTGCCATCAAACTTTAAAATTAGGTTACCACCATATTATAATGCTTCCGTTAATTTCCTCTTTTTGCCACATTTTGTGTTTATATTGACCGCCCACCCCGCCCATAACAACCTTCTGCTCTACGGAATTGGTTTCGGTTCTGCTTTGGTGGTTGGTCAAGCAATAAATTATGGCAACAAGCCAGTCAAACAATGACACCAAGTTCGATATTAACTTTAGTTTTAGCCATTGAAGCAAATCGCAAAGGCTCAGTTGCTGCCATACAGACCGGGCGGGCATAGCACAATTTATGTAGGAAGCCAACAAAATATGTAGCTGGAGAGTGTTGATGGGCATTTAAAGTGTTGCTGCTCGAAATTCGGATCGATAAGAAAATGAGTTATGAGCTATGAGTTAATGAACATAAAATCTAGATTATAAGAATTAAAGAATTTTTCTTGGACGACGGTATGAAATCTCATACCAAATTTCTTAATATCCTTATTGAAGGGATTCTTTTGAAACGGATCACGTTTTGTGGATGTATTTAAAAATTTGGCTCAACCCATTTGCAAGAGATTTGTAACATATTTCTTGTTCAAACGAGATGAAATTTTACACAGTAAATCTGTTTGGCCCAAGAACAAACCTTATTGAAATAAATAATAACCTGTTCAGCTTTGGATTTTTCTGCAATATAAAATTTTTATTCATATTATTTATTTAACAATGGTAATGGGTAAAAGATTTCGCATACAACAAGTATATCTTGTCTTTCTCGGTTCAGATTTTGATAAGAGTTCTACATATGATTTCCCTGAATTATTTTGGTTGTCAAATGAAGATGAATTTAAGTTATGCGATTAAATTAATGACATTTTGTACAAAAGATTCCATACATCCCAGAAACAACTCCGCTAGATTTTGAGGAAATCCACTTGGATTCAGATAAAGGTTTCATATAATATGTATTCCATAACGACCATACTTGGTATGATTTCCTCTACTTAAGTTCCAAAGAGACGTTTGAATATTGATTGAAGCAGAGTAGTGTAAGGTATCGTGTAGTCGGTCCACGATGTCTAAAATAATTAAAATCAATCTCCATCGAATATGTTCGCGTTTTTTCTTTCATACACCTCACATTCGAATGGCTATTTTACAATCAATCCTGACAAAAGCTTTGTTTGTGTTTTACCTTGCAGTGGTCACATGTTTTTCCGATACTTAACATAATGTCTTTGATGTTAAATACTTGTCCACATTAAAACAACAAAATTTCACTGATTAACCAAATGTTAACAGGCGATGTTCTACTAACCACTCTTCGAACAAATGGGGTTTTGGGAACCTGTACGCACTTTGTCTTGTATTCTTGTTGAACGTAATTTTAATTAGCTCCATTTTTCAATGCTATTACATTAGAGAGGTCTATTTCAAACTCATTGCTGTTTTCGTAAGGGGTGGGGGAACGGATACATGCGCCAATTGTTCTAAAACATTCTTTTAGTTTTTAAAGTGGTCAAAAGTTTTCGCAACCATGGCAAACTATCGGTGGGCTACTTTTAGAAAACAATGATCCAATGATTGTTTTGGTTAACGTTAAAAGCAAGTGGTCAATTGCTTGTTGTACTTTGGTGGGGAAATAAGCTGCAATCGTAGCCTTTGCTAAAATTCCTAACATTGGAGGGCTATGAGGTGTATACACTACAGAAGCATAAACAATTAAATTTCCAAATGTGAATGTGTTCAATTTAAGGCTATGTTTAAAAATTAAATGGACTTTAGTAGAAAAAATATCTTCGTGACTCCTAAACATTTACTCATAAATTGTATTTAGTATTGTTGTAAAAATAATTAACTTGCCATCTAAAAACAGGGTTTGAGTTCAAATAGAAAATTATATTTTGACAACGTTGAATGTGGGCAACATTCATGGGTTTAAACGAGTTTTATTTTCAGGTTCAATCTATGTCTGAATGACTGAGTTACTTAACATTAGTGTTTCAATCACCCGCTGGTAGAAGGTAAATATTATAGCCCCAAATATTTCAACTACATTCTGACACATTTATCATCAACTTTTGCTGTTATGGGCGCCCAAAAATTGAGCTCTTCCAAGAATATTTACTGAAGTTTAGAGATGGCTGGTGGATAAATATTTACTAAATTGGGTAAAAACCCCCCAAATGTTCGGTATTTATAATGTAAATACTGAGGTAAATAACCGGGTATTTGTCCAAACTATTTCGTAGAAAATTTCTATGTGTTTCGTAAAAAAATTATTGCAAATGTGAAAAAAAATTTTAGTTAGGTAAACCTTAACAAAATTAAAGGCTAATTCTATGTCAAAAACTCACCAGATATAAAAGTAGAGCTAAAAATAAAAGATACCGCGTACCGCAGTTTTGAAAGTGTACAACTCAAAGTAACCAAGACAGAGGGGGCAAGTTCTCTCTCTCTCTCTCTTTCAATGTTTTATATACCCTCAAACATATGGCTACAGAGGGTATATATCAGTTGATTCGGCCAGAGCGTGCCTCATCGAAATAACGGTTTTATACCCTAGGTCTCTTTGGACCAAATCCGTACAAATCAGGACACTTGGAGTCGATCTAGCGACGTCCGTCCGTCCGTGTGTCTGTCTGGCTGGCTGGTGCGCACGATAACTCTCGAAGGGAGTAACCGATTTGTTCCAAACTTGGTACATCGTAATATTTTTGTCAAACTTAGATCGAGTTCAGAGATGAGCAATATCGGCACACTTCTTTAGGTACCTTCCCCACAAAAGGTCATAATTTGGGATAATTATAACTCTTATTAAAAATGATGTAAGAGTCCGACTGTGTTCAAATTACACAAATCAGAATATATTTTTTTTTAATCCAAGGTCTGGTGTGAAGATGGAATATATCATTCACTCCTTCTGGTAACACACCCACAAAGGGTCAACATTTTTTATTATTCATGAAGTTCATAAAATTATGAGAAATAAACATCCGATTTCATTCAGACTTGATACATCTAAATATTACCGTCAACACAAGACCTGTTATAAAGATGGTAGAGATGGCACCATTTCTTATGGTACCTCCCCCCACATAGTGTTCAAGATTTTGAAAAACAAAACGCTCAAAGAAAACGCTTCAAATTTCACATATCGAAATATTTTTGCTAACACAAGATCTGCTGTACCCTTCTGGTACCTCACCCACAAAGAGTCACAATTTCCAGTGCTTTTATCTGTCATAACTTGCGAAGTAAGTCGGCGATTCTTTAGAATTTGGTATAACTAAATATTTCTCTTAACAAGAAATCTGATATGAATATATAATTAATCGAAATTTATGATTTCGAATAAAATTGGATGTAAATGTTCGATTTCCTTCAAATTTTGCACATTCCAATATTTTTATCAGTATTAGATGACGTATGAAAGCGGAAAACTTCGGTCCGCTATATCTGTTACACATTTCCACATTTTTCACATATCTCATATAAAGTACAGGAAGTAGTTGATATAGTCCAAAAATGTCACGTTGCTATATTTATATCAGTCTTAGATCAGACACGAATTGTTGGCTAACTGCTTCGGAACCTCCCCCATAAAGAGTCAAGAGTTTTAATAATCATAAGTCAAGGCTGGGGGTATACATCTACTTGACTTGTTATATTTCCAGATTAAAATTTCTCAGATCAGATCAGATTTCAGATCATTGCATATTTTAACCCTCAAGTGAGTCCTGGTTCTTTCTGTCCTACTTCTTCCAAAAAATGATTGATTATTTTACATACAATTCTACTGCAGAGCCTAGAAGTTATCAAAAGTCTAAATCTTACATAATATAAACATGATCTTTTTTATGGAGAGCTCACGCTTTGTAACACCTCTAAGCTCTTTATCGTGTCTAATTCTTTTGAAAAACGATTTCAGAAATTGTCTTACAAAGTTAACTTTTCCACTGAAAACACCAAATACCAAATAATATCTAATTCCTCTGCAAAATTTATATAAGACCCAAATACCCTTAAATATACTGCAGCTTTATATGAAGACTATATGAAAAACTGTACCGGTTCGTTTTTTTTTTTTTTGTATAGATTTGACTTATATATCAAAACATGGACCTATATCTGTAAATCTTAGCTAATTTGATTGAGCAATGAGCTTAAACTTTCAAAATAAGTACTTTTAGGCTCAATATATTGTAATAATATTGTATTTAAAAAAAAAAAAAAAACAAAGTATATGTTTCAAAACGCTTTATTGTGAGGGAAAATAGAAAAGCGGTAAATACCTGACAAATACCAACTTTACTGAACTTGAATCTCTAATGGAAGTTGTCTTTTCTCTCAATGTTTTAGTTTAAATGCTCTTCATAAAGTAGACTTAATATTTTTAAATTCAAAATAAATACTCAATTTTGTTACTTCTTTTCAGAAATATTGTTTACAATATCAGCATACACGACCTACAGGAGCAACAACGTCTTGTATGGAACTCGCCAGAGGATGATCAGAAAATGTGTGTCGTCAAAGGCAAGGATGAGGTAAGTTCTTAGTTTTAGTGTCTGTAATAGTTTTCATTTGTGTACTTAAGCACGAAAGAAGCGAGAATTTCGTGTAACTAAATACACATTAAATACAATTAAACCTAAATTCAGGTATACTTGCCTCCAATTTTAGCGTCTCCCAAAAGATATAAGGTTACACAAGAAGATAGAATGTTTAAGAACGTCGTTGTTGAACCGTGATAATTACATCAAACTTGACAAAGCAATAGACACACATACATAATTAACAATAATGACATGCTACAAAAACTGACACAATTACATATATAGTTTTAGACTGTAAAAAGTTCATAGTCTAGCCGAATCTCACACCATTTCTTATTAATTATTATATATTTCTTTTTGTCTCAAGAATTCTTCCTACGAAGAAACAAAGGAATTTTTTTTTTAATAATGTTTATTATTTAAATATAAAAAATATATTTTTAAATGTAAACAACCCACACATATATATAGATTCGTCGCCATATGTATGTGCTTGTCTGGGACGATTTTTTATGTGAGCCAAGATTCCCACAGTTTCAATGCCCATATGCACACACATGCAGTTTATTTTAAGTATACTTAAGCATGCAAGCAATTTCATAATAAAAACGGAAACGGAAGTCAGAGAAAAAATGCATGTAGAGTGCAATCTACAATTAAGCATGCTCTTATACAGATATAAATACACACATTACATCGCAACACTTAGAAATTTCTTGCTGAGACATAAGGCGCATGTAACGGGTTATTTCTAAAATAATTAAATGAAATCACTGTTTTACAAGTAACACATGTCCATAGCTGTCAGATTATCAGAAACTATTTATATATGCAGAATATCAAAATATCCTTCTCAGTTTATGGACATAAAGAATATATATGTTTTTTAAATGAGTGCGAGTTGAGATAGAATTTAACAGATCTAACGTTAACTTACTTAGTTTGGTCAGCTGATTCTGATCAAATATTTTGTGAAAAATTTTCCATATTTTAAGTAAAAATTTTTGAAATCCTAGCTATTATTTCAAATAATTAGCATTGAATATCGTACTTTTGCGTATATTTTGTGGAACGGGTGGTGCCATGCTGGACTTATTTACAAAAGTTTAAAAAAGTTTAATCCTGGCAGAAAAGCTAATATTATTAGACAGAGCAAACAAATGAGAGGAAAACGCAACCGCTCGGTTCGGACTCAGTTTCAAATCTCCTTCGTCATCATCTACCGTGAGAATTAGAATACAACCTCTCGGTTATTTTGTTGTTTCAAATCTGATTTTAGTCATAAATATTTTTATTATTTCAATGCAACCCATGGTTTTGCTTTCTTCTCAATTTTGTATCCATAGAATTTGTACATTTTAGTTCCAATTTTTTTATGTTATAGCCCTTTTAAATGTCTTCGGCGTTTGCACTCCTCTGATATGCTGGAACCTGCAAAAAATTCGTTGGCTGTGCGTAAATAAATATTTTTGTCGGTTTTTTTTTTTCAAAAGTTAACTCAAGTTGGTTTCAACTTTTTACCTCACTGTTGCAGTTACTAGTTCTGCTTAAATGTTTTTGCCAACACTGCAGAAACTATGCAATAAAAATATTCTCCTCACTCAAATATGAAAAAGCGTAGGGGTCTTCGTTAAAACACATAAATTATTATCTGTTTCCTTTAAAGCATGTCTATATGGTCGGATTCTGTCTGTCTCAATTTTTCTGTCGCTCGTTTGGGTTAAGTGTACTATGCTGTTGTTTTTAAAGCGAAAATGGATACTTGACAATATGCTTCCGCCCTTTAACTGAAACTCTGAATTCGCTCTATTATTTTTACTGCTGATAGTAATAACACATACATAACATACATACACACATGTGCTCGATGTACCCTCACTTTTCGGTAGAGAGAAAACGAAAAGAAATGACTTACATTGTTTCATACACTTAACATCTGAAAAAGAAATCTTAAAATGTGGGTCAAGGAACGCAACGCTCTTGATAAATGATGTAATGCATTACAACTTTATTTATATTAAACTACGTAATAAATAGATTAAATGCATGCTTGCTACAGCAAAATGTTGCACAGCTCCTACTAGTGCCATGAAGTCTCAAAAATATCTATTCAATTCAATTCAATTCTAGCAGTACACAAAACAAAAATTTATAGAGTCCCAATGATTAAACAAATTTAGATTAGGACATTATTGGTCAATGATTTTAGGATATGCTCCATAAGGCCTCCCTTTTTGACAGCTTCTTCGTCAGCGAAAAGTCCACTTTAAAATTTAAAATACGTTTTATCAGTTCATTTTAGTACTCAAGATGCACAATTTGTTCATTATTTTTTGGACAAAAATTTCCAAACAAAACTTAACACATCGTACTATCTTCACAAAACTTAATATATCGTACTATCTTCTCAGCTGCACCATTTCCATAACGTTTTATTCGTTTTTAAGGTTTTTCCTTTATCAAGAAGTATGATCGGAAAATGATTCCTTTCTGCGCCAAAAAGTCTTTAAAATCTTTTCTTTTGAAGTTTAACAAGTTTTGAAGTTTACCAAAGAGCATTTTAGTTAAACCCCTGCACAATGGTTCCACATTCAAGGGCAAATTTAATAACATTTAGTACTTTTCGGACAATCATAGTACGCATTCCCAAATCCACCTCCACGTCCCAAAACATATCCAATTTAAGAATTCCAGCTCTATCCTGAGACCCAATCCCTAATATATTACCATACCGTTCTCAAAGTTATACCACGTATGTCCAAAATCACAGTGACTCCGATACCAAATTTCAGAATTCCGCCTCTATCCTAACATACAACAGTACGTTTTTTTACCATTTTGCCCTTTTCGTATTGTCATAGTACGCATTTGAAAACCCACATCCTCTCAATTACAGACACCAACAGTGATCTATCAAATTTCAGGATTTCAACCCTGTCCCTTTACCCAATAACAAATTTAGTAGCATTTAGTACTGTTCGAACAATTAAAGTAAACAATTCCAAAACATATTCCATATCTTAACCTTAATATCAAATTTCAGGATTTCAGCTATTACCAAATCTGTTTCCATTTAGTACAATTATAGTACGTATAACCAAAAGCAGCTGCTCCTCCCAACTACAGACATCAACAGTGATATCTATCTCAAATTTCAGGATTATTTGATCCCTCCTTCACCCAATACCAAATGTAGAACTATTTAGTACTTTTCGTACAATTATAGTACACACTTCTAAAACAAGGCCATATCTCAATCACAGATACCAGCAGAGACCTCGATATCAAATTTAGGGATTCCAGATCTATCCCTTCACTCACTACCCAATTTAAGACCAGTTAGTACTTTTCGAACAACCTACAACCAACAGGAGTCTTAACACAAAATTTCAAAATTGGAGCTTCATCCATTCACCCTAAATTCAAATGGTCCAAATTTGGTACCATTTCTTGCATTTAGTACAAATTTCCATAACCACCTAATTACATCAGTCCCACTTACAGGAAGATTTCACCACAATCCCAAAGAACCAGGTTTCCATATAGCTATCATAATCTCCTGATGCATTACTTTAAAATGGTGAAACGGCGGGGTTTATTAAAAGTTCGAACATACCTGCTGATTATCTTGTTCACACAGCTTCTACTGTGTTCATATCACGCACTAAACCAAGACCTCCATGGCACATTTCAAAGTTCTAGCTCTTAACAATTGCTCAATAACATTGATGTACATTTTGGTACTCTTCGTGTCTTCAAAGTACGAATTTCCTAAAAATCTCTTAATTCAAAGTTAGAAAAAGAAATCAGCCTTAACTCTTTTCCTGCCCTTTCTCACCCCATTTATAACAGAAGTGTCCCTTCCCCATGGTACAATTAAATCAAGGTAACCCCATTTCAAATACTAATATAAACAAGTTTCCCATCTCTGATCGGAGTATATGCAATGGAATGATAAATATAAATGTTGACACTGAGATGTTGTCAAAGGTATTATTAAACCAGTAAAGAAAGTCTTAAAGTAGGGCGGGGCCGACTTTATGATACCCTACACCACCTTACTAATTTAGAAGAGCTCCGCATAACAATTAAAAGTTTTTAAGGGAGTATTGAATCATACATGCTATGATTATAATTATAATTTAAAGTTCAAAGGACTAAATATGCCGAGGCATTTGTATCTTTTAAATTCGGAATTGTCCCATTTGGTGCACAATTAATTTGAAATCGGAAAAATATATATATAGGAGCTATATCCAAATCTGAATCGATCTCGATAAAATTTAGCAAAGATATTTCCGAGCTGTATTGGATATATTTCCCTGAATATCGTTGTTACGGAGTGCATATTACGGTTGTGGGTAACAAATATAACAAATCGGATGTATAATATATATGGAAGCTATAGCTATATCTGAACCGATCTTCACCAAATTTGACATACTAGCTTCTACACTCAATTCGGTCGTAAGTGCCAAATTCCATCCCATTTAGACAAATATTAGACGTTTGGTGTACAATCCAAAGTAAATCGGACGAAGTTATATATGGGAGCTATATCCAAATCTGAACCGATCTCGATAAAATTTAGCAAATGTGTTTCTGAGATGTATTTGATAAATTTCCCCAAATATTGTTGTTGCAGAGTGCATATTAAGGCTGCGGAGGGCAAAAATAACAAATCGGATGAACAATATATATGGGAGCTATAGCTATATCTGAACCGATTTCGATCAAATTTGGCATACTTATTTTCAGGCCTAATTTGGGTGCATATGCAAAATTCCATACAATAGGGTTCGTCCTTGGACCAAACAAATGATATGTACAAAATTTCATCTGGATCGGGCAATAAATGCGACCTGTACTTTGTTTACAAAAATACATGGACAGACGGACGGACATGCATAAATCGACTCAGAATGTGATTCTATGCAGATCATCAAAAGGAACTATGGGTCTATCTCGTTTCCTTTTGCCTGTTACAAACA